TGAGCTGTGATGCCACAGCACTCTACCCAGGGGGACAGCTTGAAGCTCTGTCTCAAAAAAAAAAAAAAAGACCTGTGGCAAGAATAACTGACTGAGGAGCTTGTGGCGGGCCTAACCAACAGGCCTGAGACTGCCCTTCAGAGCAGAGATTCAGGGAGGGGAGCAGTCAGGGTTTAGGTTAGGGCGAGTTCACACTGGCTCAGAAGGTTGAGGTTCACTTTACCTACCTATGTTGAAAATTTGCAATGATAAGCATGTATCTTACTTCTTTTGTTAATGTTGTCTTTTGTATTGCGACCACAGACTTTTAAAGGTAGAAAAGTGAGCTAAGTCAGCTCTATGGACGCAAGGGCAACAGGAGGCGCACGGCGCCTGGCACAGCAGCCCAGGTTTGGAAGGCCTCTGTGGGCTAGGACGGGCTGCCTCTCTGCCCCTCTGTACCTGGTTTCTACCAACTCTCCCTCCCCTCAGCATCTAAAGCTGATCCTCCTGCCAGAGTGTGATGTGTGTCGTCCACTCTCAGCACCCTCTATCCCTTCGTCCCTAGTCCTTCAGCCATACTTCCCTTGGCTACCTTCCTTCCTGAGTCAGCCCTACCCTCTACCACTCCATCCTGAGACCTGTGCAGCTGAACAGAGAAAAGGCAGGACGGACCGAGGGCACTGGGACCACTGCACCTTCATGGGCTCCATCCTGCAGTGCCCTTAAGATCCACCTGGAAGCCGGAAGAACGGAAAATCCGTTTTATCATTTCAGCAATGTTAGGGTGACGTTTGTGTATCTCAAGTCATCTCACAGTTTTCTTGGTTTTTATGATTCCTCAAGGAGCACCAGCAGCAGGCCAGTGATTTCATCTGCATGTTTTCTCAGTACCCTTGCTTGTTCCCGACACCCGTGGGAATTGGCCAAAGTGAGATGGGATGGCAGGCAGAGCAGGGAGCTCCCCGAGAGGCATGTGAGTCTGTGTACCTCCTTAAAGCAGAACAACAGGGAAAACCAGAGCTGCCCTGATGTATAGTCAAATTATCAGAGTTTCTGTATTGGATTTTTAAAACATTTCATAGTTCAATATTTTAATTATAAGTTAAGATTCCTTTTCCTGGCCAGGCACAGTGGCTCATGCCTGTAATCCTAGAACTGGGAGGCTGAGGTGGGTGAATTGCTTGAACTCAGATCAAAACCAGCCTGAGCAATAGCAAGACCCCATCTGTACTAAAAATAGAAAAACTGGCTCGGTGCCTGTGGCTCAAGTGGCTAAGGTGCCAGCCACATACACCTAAGGTGGCGGGTTTGAATCCAGCCCGGGCCCACCAAACTGATGGCTGCAACCAAAAAACAGCCAGGTGCCTGTGGTCCCAGCTACTTGGGAGGCTGAGGCAGGAGACTCGCTTGAGCCCAGGAGTTGGAGGTTGCTGTAAGCTGTAAGCACTCTACCCAGGGGGATAGCTTGAGGCTCTATCTCAAAAGAAAAAGAAATAAAAATAAAAATAGAAAAACTAGCCAGGCATTGTGGTGGGTGCCTGTAGTCCCAGCTCCTTGGGAGGCTGAGGCAAGAGGATCACTTGAGCCCAAAAGTTTGAAGTTGCTGTGAGCTATGATGATGCCAGCAGCACTCTACTCAGGGCAACAGAGTGAGACTCTGTTTCAAAAAAAAGATGCCTTTTCCTCTGAATACTTGAACAAGCAACTCACTTGTTAATGGAGAAACAAGCTATCATTCTCTGTTCTTATAAACTGGCCTCTGGGGCTACCCTCCAGGAAGGAAAATAGCGCGGTGTGACTGCCTGGGGTAACTCTTTATTTAACAGTACATTTGGGACAAGATAAGGCAACAAGGCAATGTTTTTAGAGTGTTGCTTGCATTTTCCCAAGGTAAAGCCAGGAAACAAGCTTGGGCCATTTCCACAAGCACTCCAGGGATGTCCCCCTAATTCCATGGACAAATACTGGAGAGGGTCACGTTCATAAAGTTTTGAGGCGGCAACAGCTTGATTTGTCCTTTATTGTAGTTGGTTTGCAAGTTGGAGTCCTGGTTTTAGGGTGCTGCTTCAGCTGATCAAGAGCAGACTCTTTCTAGTATTAATAAGGTGAAATGCATAAGATAATGGTCGAGGTCTAGGAGGAGTGATTTACTGTTACCAATCAATATTGAATAAAACCTGTCTCTTGTTTAACCAAATGACAGAGACATGCTTTCTCTCCTGGATTCCTTAGATGCCTTGACAAGATTTATTTCATACTGCATTATATTACCTGGTTTCCCTTGGTTTGCTCAAGGGAAACCATAATACCTGGGCTGCTGTTTGGTAGATGCAACACCTACATTTCTAAACTTGAAGTTGCTTTAAATATTCCCAACAAGGGCCTGTGTCCTTGGAGATTGACTTGATGTTTGCTCCGTTGTTAAATGCCTCCCCGCATTTTTTTCCTGGTTTAATATTGCTATAAACAGGAAAGTTTGGAAAAGTTAAAAAGTATGTACTATTTACAGATTTAAAGCTTTCTTTGAGCTTATCAAGGGTTAAGCGACTCACTTTCATTTAGTATAATGATAGGCAAATCTTTCTTTATGTGAAAGTTCTATCTCCAATGGACAGTAGCATTATTTTCAGCTATAATCATCAGTTAAGTAAATGTTCCCCTAATTTCAAGGTTCAGATACAAAGTGTTTCTCTGTGGAAGCTTAGTCCGTGGCTGATTTTCTGTCTGGAGACATCTTGGAGCACATTAGTTACAACTTCAAAGTACTGAAAAACAGAGCCACTGTGAGGAAGAAAGAAAAACAAGTCAGCTTAGTGACAGGTTCTTAAATTAAAGGCTATTTAAGTACTTATAGATTATTCTGTAAAACTGTTGTACAAAAAAAGCTGACCAAGGGCTAAGATACCAGTGCACTAACTTGGCTTTTTTTACTACTTAATTTCTAGCATCTGTCTTTTTACAAAAGGTCAGTAGTCTGTGTGTTATTTGAATCAGGGGTCATGAATCCTATTACAAGGTTGATGGCATACATAACCAAGGTTGATGGCAGTCTGCTCCTCTGCTGCTCGTCTATACTAAAAATCTAGCCAGGCATTGTGTGGAGCACCCGTAGTCCCAGCTACTCGGGAGACTGAAGCAAGAGGATCTCTTGAGCCTAAGAATTTCAGGTTGCTATGAGCTATGATGACACCGCAGCACTCTACCCAGAGCAGTAGAGTAAGACTCTGTCTCAAAAAAAATAATAGTAATAAAATAAATAAGTAAATAAATAAAGCAGGCCACTCCAGTTAACCCCCCTTTAAATCTTCCCACTCCACACCTCCCTCCCTGACCCCACATGACTAAGCCCTGATGTACAGAGATACGGTTGACCTCTATAGTTCCAGTTTTCAAACAACATATAAATTAGCATTTTCACATCTCTGCCTGAGAGTATCACATCAGAATTTAGCATGGGATGTGGCTACCCTTGATTGAATATTGGAGTGATAGGCAAACTTTAAATCAGACTGAGTGAATAGGTCTGGGATATGGCCTGGACATCAGGACTTCTGCAAAGCTCCGCACACAATGTAACCTGTAGCCAAGGTTAAAGATCACTGCAGACTGCAGGGGAGAATTTCTTCGTCTTGGTCATCCTTACCAAAGACCACTGGAGATAAGGATCCCCAGGAACCTGTGAGAGGTGAGGCTTGGGGGGGGGGGAAGCAGGGCATAGATGCTTCTTGGGGGCAATGGGGAGGAGGGGGACTGAGTAGGAAGCCAGCGGACCCCGGAGAGCTGGGGGGTGGCATGGGGAATAGGACATCCAGCAACAATTGTAAAGAGGCTCAAATTTCTGGAAGTTAACATATGGACTTTTTCATGTGACACTGTACTGACTCTTCAGATCACAATCTCAGGGTAGGGATATTTCCTACGCATATCCAGTTTTCACCAAGTTAGTGTTATCCATAATAAACAATATTTCCAGTTGGCTAAAGGCACTTTGTAAGGAATAATAGCAGAGAGAGACAGTTATTTGGCTGCTGGCTTCCCTCAGAGTTTAAAATCCAAGGAAAAGAGTTGCCAGACCCGTCCTCCTTTCCACTCTGCTCCTCAGCTGCTTGCAGACAGGACCCACAGCATTGCCACTGCCACCCAGCACAGCCACCCCACCAAGTGTGCAGTGGCCTTCCCCAAGTGTAGAGGAAGTATAGCCTGAATCCAGGTGGTACTCAGCATACATCCCACCTGGCTTCTTTCAGTGAGAGAATATTCTGTCATTGGGATGACAAGAGAACATTCTGTGCTTTGCATTTTATGAGGTTGGTATACTGACTTAACTCAGAAGTGGGCATCGCTGGGGTTCTAGACACATGAGCACAATAAA